AAAAAAAAATTTTTTTAAATAGAAGCAAAGAGCTTTGGATCATTGAGAGCCATAGTAGAGGCTTGAAACCACAAAGGTTCTGATAGGGAGTGTTTATTTTATTTTATTTTATTACACGGGATTTTAGTTTGGGATTGCTATAAGATGATTTGTACTTCTAAAATATTTGCTTATGTTAGATCATTGGTTGGAGGGCACAGGAGTAGAAGCAAGGAGGCTGAGCAGGGGGCTGCTGCAGTGGTCCCAACTAGAAGCAGTAAGGGCTTTACCTGGAGAAATGACAGTGGAAGATGGAATATATTTTAGAGGTGCCCAACAAGAGTCATTTTCCACTTATTTGTAAATGCCAGCGCAGTTGACACCAAGCTTACTGGGTGATTGCTGGGGCTTACTCCATCCCCCACTTTTTTAAGTTATCAAACATCATGAAAGGTAAGAATATTTTAATCTATTCTCAGCAAATAGATTGAGATACCTGGGGAAGGTACTATCATCTGTCTTGGTTACTTTTCCTCATTGCTGAGACAAAGTACCTGACTCCCAAAAATGAGGGAAGGAATGGTTTATTTAGATTATAATTTTTGGAGATTTCAATGCATACTCATGTGTCTCCAAGGCACGGTGGCGTGGCTACGGGGCAGCCATTCATGGCAGCTGCAAGTGACAAGAGCCAAGAGGGCAAAAAAGGGGAAGGCACACCTCCTTCCCGCCCTTAGATTATAAGCTGGCTCCTGGCCCCTGCACAGGTGCGCACTCACACCCCCAATCCCAGTGCTACACAGTGAACCATCACAAACGCTAGATTCACTCACCACTATGACTGCATAGGCTTTGGGGGACATTTAAACCACACCATGCCACCTCTGTCCCCCAAAGACTCATATACATCCTTTATGCAAAAGACATTTAGTCCATCTCCCAGTGTTACTAAAGTCCTAATGCTTTTAGCATTGTTGAAAAATCTATGTCCTGAGTCACCTCTGAGATCTAAGGCAAACTCTTTACTCTAATTCCCTGTACAAATGAAAACAAAGGTAAACACTTCCAACATACAATCGTACAACATAAAAATTCTCGTTCCAAAAGGTACAAACAGGGGGACACAAAGGAATGGGATCAAAGGAAGTCCGAACTCCAGCGGAGCACACATTAACTTCTATAGTTCCATGTCCAGCATGTCAGGCAGTCTGATGGTGACCTCCAAAGGGCTCAGGTTATCCACCCCACAGTACTTCCCGTGGTTGTAGCCCCCATGGCTTCTCTCTTAGGCTTGCTTTACTGGCTCCTTGCAGCTTTCCTCAGATGACTCAGTTCTGGCTTTTCCAAACTTTTGAGGGTCTCCGCTGCACCACTGGCTTCATACTCACAGCTTTACATACTGCCCTCTCAAAGGTGCGCTGCCTGGCCTTCTAGGTCTTTTGAAATCCAAGTGGAAGCTTTTTTAACCCCATTAACTCTTGCATTCTGCATGCACTTAAAACCAGCACCATGTGGGTAATCCAGGTCTGCGCCAGCTGGAGCAGTAGCCAGGCTTTCCTCTCTCTTGGCAACAGGGATCGAGTTCCTGGATTGTTGAGTACTCTGCACCTGATTTGAAGAACATAATTTTTCTGCTGACACCATTGTGGAACCTCGTGTGACCTCTGCTGCCATTCTGGAACATGGCAGTCTGACTTTCTGTTTCAAGCAAACTCTTTCACTTTTGCAGTTTTGAGCTTACAAAAGGTGGAGACCCACCTTTACTCCTTGTGATGTCCCCAGGCCATTTTTTTAAATTTTCCTCTTCCTTCTCAGCAGTGAACATCTCAGCACTATCTTTGCAATCCACAGCTTTACTGAAGCTTTCTTTCTAACCAAACTCACCCTGCTTTTAAATCACCCTGCTGGGCTCTTTGCTGTTGATTTGCAACGTAAATATGGCTAAAAGCCCCCATAATAGCCATGCCACTGCCTCAGTATTTGACTGCCTTGAAACTTCTTCTGCCAGATTAATTAGTTCACCATCCTTAATTTCAGTCTCAGGGAAAGTCTTTGGACACAACTAAAACACAGACAAGCTTTTTGCCAAGCCATAGCATACATCATCTGGAGTCCAACAACCAATGCAGTCCTCTGTAGCAGAAACCTTCTGAGCCTGTACACTGGTCTTCTGAGCCCTGACAAGAATCTCCCACACGGAACAACCTAAGGCATTCTAGGCTGTTCTTTCAGGTGACTTCTCTGCACCTTTCTAAGGTCTTTCCACAAGCCATTCCCAAAGGCTTTTGAACCACATGGTCAGGTGTAGTCACCACAGTGACCCCACTCTTGGTATCAAAGATATGTTCCTCTTGTTGCTGGTACAAAATACCTGACACTCAAAATAAAGAAAGAAAAGGTTTTTTTAGCTTACAGTCTGTGGAGGTTTCAGTCCGTACTCAGCTGGCTCCAAGGCAGGGGTAGTGTGGCTGAGGGGCACATGCGTGGCGGCCACAAGTGATGAGAGCTTTCAAAAAGGGCAAAAATGGGAGGCACGCCTTCTTCCCTCCTTTTTATTGTATTCTGGCTACCTGCACTTACACCACCAGTACCAGTACAGAACAGTACTGGACAACGAACCAATCACAAACACTAGATTCACTTGCCTCCATGACTGCGTGAGGCTTTAGGGCGACATTTAAACAAATCAAAGCATCATCTTGCCCTAAACATAAATGTAACTTAGAATGGAGGAAAATGTCTCCACAGTACTGTGTATTCCAGCAGTTCACTAGAATTCCTTCCAGTGTAAAGATCAGAGGGTAGGAGGGCAAATTATATTTGCAGTCTTAATGTTTTGGTAACAGACTACATTTGGAAATGAGGAATTGAATTTTAGAGGTTTTTTCCAGCTAATTCACATTAGACTTGTACTTCATTTCTATTGTTAGAAATGGAGATAATACCAGTAATATAGTTAGAGCCAGTTTACACTGGATTCACATTTTTAAATTTGTAGTTTAATACTATTAGAAATTGAGAGTAAAAATTAGAAGTAGTATACTATTACCCAGAGTTGTACTTGGAATACTGTTTTAAATACTTTAAAGCTAATCCATCTAGCCTTATACATGTTCATGAGATTTTTCTCACACTCCATAGTAAGAAAACACTCCCATCTGAAAGTCTGTATCTGTATACACGTAAACACACGTATAGACTGAAGACAGAAAAGCTGAAAGAGACTGCAAGGAAAGATAACTCCTTCCAGGTGCTTTATAGAAATGGTGATTTTCAGGGCTTTTTGTGGACACATAATGATTACGAGCATAAATAAGCTCACAAATAATCCCACGTTCTCTAAGTGTCTTGCTCTAGTACTTAAGCCATTTTACTTGGTAAGTTAACTTCTCTGTCACTCCATTTCATATGAATATCTGGAGATAAAGCTAAATGACATATATAAAATATTTACAAAAAGGACTAGCATATGATAAATTCTCAAATATTAGCCATTACTTTTAATATGTAAGAGCAGAAATACTGTTATATTTTCAGACAATTTCTTTTTCACATTGGAGTGGATATGCTTTGTCTAGGGAAAGGAAGTGATCTCTTGTCTAGGCCAACAGAGACAGAAATTCTCACGTGTTATCCGGTATCTAATGTATTGAAAAGCATCATTTAGAAAACACAAAGTACATGAAAACAGATAAGGAAAAATACCTCTCATTCCAAAATACCTGTACTATATCTCTAGTTTTATTTTACCTAAATAATTGCATCAAGAATAAAACTTTGTTTGTAATCAAATCTGTTTCATGAAAACACTATAAAGATTCATAGTGGGGCTGGGGATTTAGCTCAGTGGCATAAGTGCCTGCCCAGCAAGCATTAGATTGAGAGTTCAATCCTCGATACCAAAAAAAAGATTCGTAGCAATAGGACAAAAATGTTGAAATAAAATACAGCAAGAAGCCAGTATGCCTGGCTTTTTTTTTTCTTACACGTCAGTGTACTCAATGGAAATAGATGAAGCTTTGAATCTAAATTAGATATTAGGTACAGTTCTTTCAAAATCCCTTGTCATTGCATGAAGTCCACCAGAGTGCTTTGGTTTGAACTGTTCTATGCAGTTACAGAAGTTTTAGAGCCATTTTCATAGGAGATACTTTCTATTTCATTCCAGCTTTTAGTGTTTACACAAATGGTTCTGAATGGTAGGAAGACCCCAGTTTCCTTAGACATACTGTGTCCTTTTCCTTTTTTCCTTTATGTCATATCCATTGTGCACATTAACTGTCAGTTAGGTCAGTTAGGTAGATTCCATTGTCAGGGCCCAAAGGGAAATGAAGTAGAAATTGTCAAAAGGAGATTTTAGTACTGGGTTTAAAGTAGGTCACCCAAGCCCCCAGAGATTAATGTTAATTATATCAACGCTGTTCTTCTTTTTTTTCTTTCTTATAATTTAGGTCCTGTTTTAGGCTACAGTTTCATAGTCTTTGCCAGAATACAAGGAAAAACAGTTGAACAAAATCATAAGGAAATTTAAAAATACTTCAGAAGGCTAGAAAGTCTTGTAATCACTCAGTTGAAAATGTATTATAAATTTTTCTAATTAAGTCTGAAGTTTTTTATTATATCACTCATAATTTTATAAACATTTTAATAATGTGTTTTTATGGTCATCCATGCATGTTTTTGAAAGTCAGCATATTACAAATAATATAGTTTATAAAGCAGTAACTTTAAATTATGTTTTGATCCGAATGTACTCACCATAGAGAAGAATGGGCGTTTCCTGCTGTAACAGACCTGAGGACTGAATGTCTCACCACACGTCCCAGAGTCCTCTGGGAGCTGACTCTGTGGACCTCGCCTCGTTCCATGTGGCCTCTCTGTAGAGGCTCTGAAGAGAGGAGTAGGACATTCTTTGCTCATGACCAGTGGAAACCAGCCTCATACGACAGGCCTGGCTACAGATCTAGTAACGTTTGAGAAATAAAGTGACGTGATATCCTGTTTGATTTCTCTGTCTCCAGATACAACAATAACTTTAAGATAAAGAATAAAATCAAGTTAACTGACATGTGGACAGCCAGCTGTGTGGAGGAAGTGGGGGAAGGCAACACCAGCGCTGTGAAGTCCTTCGTCTTGGGCTGGCCCACAGTGAACTTCGTGGCCACGTTCAGGTAGGAGCTGTAGTTTGTCCTGTGCTTGCTGGGACTCTGATAAAATCTAGATTCTTATCAGATCTTTCCCCCAATCTTTAAAATGAAAAGGTTTTATTCTGATTGTTTATTGGCAATAGCTCATTTTTTGACACACATACACAACAAACATCTTTTGACAAACCCAGTAAAAAGGTGTCTCTTATATTTCACCTAAGACTCCTTGATTAAAATACGTGGACACTAATAGTAAACCCCAGAAACTTTTGGGGTCAGTTCACCTTCCTTTGACAAAAGACTTTTTAAGAGGTCCTAGTGAGGCAGCTGGAGGAAAGGGGGGAGACGTCTGGGATGTGGAGGTGCTTTGTCCGATCTCCCGGAGCTTCGCTCTTCAGTGTGGCCCTCCCCAGTGTCATCGAAGTATTTGTTTTTCGTATTGAGCTGTTGAGCTTTATCAGTTCTTTTTATATCACTAGAGTGGACCTTTACTCAAGCAATTTTTATATAATAGCCCACTTAAGTAACTGGTCCATAATACTGAGTTTTCTAAGGAAATGTTTTTTATTATACAGATACAATCAATATCATGAAATTCTGAATTATCTAATGAGATTCTGATTTGGTACCTAAAAAGATACACAATATTTGTCATTTTATTCTGAACCTACTTAGCTGAAACTTACTGACTGGTGGTGAGTGTACCAAGACTCACACCTTGACTCTGAACCCCAATGTCAGCATTTGTTTGCACAAGAGGCTTCTCCTTTGCCTCTCTCCCTACTGCCACTAACTCACTTGGTCATCACCCTGAACCCGGATAACTAAAATTTTCCAAGGTGTTAATCTTTTAATAAAGCCATATGCATGCCACTAAATTCTATTATATTCTGTTGGCTGTCTACAAATTTTAAGAGCTTATTTGGAGGAAAACATATGTTTATATCATTCACTGTATGTCTTCTTTTCCATAACAGATGTCTATAAAGATGGTCATTTCCTGTTATTTAATTTCCATGGAGTAATGGGTTTTATTTAAAAAGCCATTTCCAGTGAAGAGTGACTATATATTTTTCAATCAAAGAATTTCTGTGAAACTTTTTAACTGGGGAAAATGCAGAAACATGTTTTATACATTTTACTGTTTGCATATGGTTTTTAAATCAAACAGTCAAGGTTAGTATCACCACTGATGTCCTATAGATGTCATGTGCCCCTTAATATGATGAAAAGAGCAATTCACCTCTAGTTTTCCTCTTAGAAAACTCACAGTCTTAACATAATCATGAGAAAAATATCTGGCAGATACAAATTCAGGAATATTACGAGGATACCTGACCAGTACCCCTTAAGAGCTGTCGAGATGCAGCATGAAAAGAGGCCACACTGCAAAAGTGTTTTAGACCAGTCAGTAAGGAAACGTACTACCGGAGTGTGACGCAGCATCCTGATCAACTCCTGGACCCAAAAAGCACATTAGTAGAGAAGCTTTCGTGATGAAAGTTTTATTGATGTTAAGTTCTTACTTTTGACAAATAGGCCGTGATAATATAAGGATAACATTACAGGAAGCTGAAATTGGGTGAGACAGACACAGGAACTTCCTGTATTATATAAGTAATTTTTCTGGAAATCTAAAATTATCTCAAGGTTAAGGTGGTTGTTGTTGCTTTTTTTAAATAAAGTACTGAGTTCTGCCTCCGGTATGGCAGAGTGAGGTCTCAACAGAAACAACACTCAACAATAGCAGTGTAAAATCTGAACAAAATACAGACGCAGCTCCCTGTCAGTTCTGAAGAGCGGACAAAAGCTGGGAGACTGCCGAGAAACTGTAGGAAGGAAGAAAGCATCAATATTTGGTGAGTTTCCCGTCGTTTAAGGCTTTAGATCGGAGGCAGGGTACATCACACCATAGAGCAAGGTGACTGAAGTTCCCAAAAACCCTTATCTCTTTGGAAAGTAAGAAAGGGCTCTCACAAGGGAACGTGGCAGAGAAGGAAAGGTTTGCATTCTGTGTGCGGATACCAAGTCGCTGTCTGACCGTTGAACCCCCACATGCATGGGATAGACTCAAAGTAGTGTGAAGCCTAGACCAGAACAATTGAACTGAGTTGATGACCACCAAAGGTGAAATCATTCATAACTCGTGTTGAGTTAATCACACTCATCATCAGCTTAAACAAAAACCTGAGTTCTGTTTCGGAAATATAACAGAACTCAGTCTCTGAGACAAAGCATGTGTAAAGTTCAAAATACCACCCAAAACGCTTTGCCATCTAAAATTGTTCGATGTAAATAACAAGTAAAAAATCGTAATAGGTAGAGGCCAACCCTGAGATGAGCCTTGTGCCGAATACCAGGAAAGAACTCTGAAGCAGCCTTACAATGAGCCTGGAAGGCGAGAGGAAACGCCAACTGAAATTAATCAGAAGGTGGGAAGTCTTGGCAAAGACAGAGAAAATATTGGAAACGGCTAAATGAATATGCTGCAACTGAAAACTGCAGTGCTTTAAATAAAATACCTTATATGTGACACGAAGTGGGAATCTGAGGTGCAGCATGCACACGCACAATCTGAAGGTCAGAGAAGCTGCTCGTGACAGCGACATGGTGCATTGTGTGCTTGTGGGACAAGATCGGAAGATGCTGTCCGAGTAGTCAGGAGCCCAGAAGCACAGAGAGGAGCGAGACAGAAGAGTGCTTGAGGAAGTAACAGCTTAAACCTCCTGTATCTGATTTAAAAAAGAACATAGAAGTACATATTTGTTAAGTTCAGCAAGCCCCAAGCAAGAGGAGTATGAAAACAAAATACTGCTTGTCATGTTATAGACCAGGCGTTCTAAATCTAACACAAGAGGAAAACCATGAAAGCAGCCAGAGAAAAGCAGTACATTCCATGGAAGAGAATAGCAATTGGTGTTACTATAATCTTCTCATTAGAGATTGTGGAGGTCAGAAGACAGTGGAACATCTTCAAATACTGAATTTCTTTTATCTTTAAATGTTGAAAGGAAAAGCTTTCAAAGTAGAATACAGTACCCTAGAATAATATTTTTCAGAAAGATAAGGACTTTTAATAAAAATTTTAAAAAAAGAAAGATAAGGACTTTTAAAAACTTCCATTTCCAACAGACAGTTTCTACAAAAATAAGTTAGTGGAAACTTTGAAAGTTGAAGTGAAATGATAAAAGGAAACATGGACTTAGGAAGGGATTCAGACCAGTGAGGGGCATATATATACCTCCGTAAACATCAGAGAACTCTAAGTCATGATCTGCCCTCCCCAGCTAGTGGACTGCCTATAAAGAAATAAATAATAAGGAACTGATTGCGCTGCCAGACATGGTGGGGCTCAAGAGTCACCCCAAGTAACACCAGTGTCACCGCAAGTTCAAGGCCACCTTGAGCTGCACACTGAAACCCCATCTCCAAAAACAAACAAACAAATAAATAACTGATAGCGGCAAACCGTAAGAAATTTTTTAGCTGGGGAAAGAGCACACAAGTGAATGTTCCGTGCTTTACCTTGGGAAACAGGTAGATTGCCACATCTCAGAAAGGTCAGAGAAATTTCCCATTTTGCCAGTATGTCTACTCTGATTGACAAACCTAGTGATCTGTGAGTACCAGAAAGATAGGTGCTGAATCTGATTTTACAAATAAACTACATGATATATTTGGAATATTGTGCGCTTAGGTTGGGGTATTTGAACTAACAACACAGACCTCAGCTCATGCCGAGGGACAGCAGACCTCACTGCTCCTATAATTTACAGGGATCTTCTGGTTTGCCTCGCACTTCACTTTTGCCTAGATACACTGCATTATTTTAGCCTCTGTCTTATTAATACCTTTTATATTTATTTATGTATTTATTTTGGTACTGGGGATAGAACTCACAACCTTTCGCTCACCAGGCAGGCACACTGCTGAGCTGAATCCCCAGCTTAATAATATCTTTTTAAATGTGCCATGAAATACTGAGAAATACATTGACTTTGGAGTGCTTTGGGGGTTAGTCCTATAAAAATGCCTGTGACTAAACAGTACTGAGGAATGGGGCATCCTGGATTCTTACATAAAGAGGAAGATAAAATACAAAGATGGTACAAATGCATATACACAAATTAATCTGAAGCATTTATAATTAACTTAAAATAGGATGTGCTATATGCTCAAACAATGAACTCTGTGTATCTATGAGAATGACCTAAAATTACTGTAGTATATGGAAAATGTCGCAGACATAACATTGAATTCAAACAAGCCAGACACAAAATATATGGTGTATAGTTAAACTTAAACAAAGTATCTGAAGGAGCAAAACTCCTCTGTGCTTTTGGAAAGCAGGGTAGTGAAAACAAGTTCCTAAAGGGGGGCATTTTCCCAAAACATGTCATGATCTGTGTGCTTACTGCATAGATGTGTTCACACTGACAGCTGATTTCAAGCTGCACAGTTAGAGTTTGTACAGTTTTCTCCATTATGCTATGTGTTCATTAAAGGAGCTTTTAAAAAGTTAATGGTTCCAAAGAAAACATCTGTTTTCCAGCATAGACTTATGCTAAATATTTAATCCAAGATTTAACAATAATGAACCTAGAAAATCTGTTTTAGAAAGAGAATGTACCAAAAGATAGGGACAAATTGTGAAAGATAGAAATTGTATGGGTCAGTGCTTTATTGATATAGAGAGACAGACAGACAGACAGACGAGAGAGGGGGAGGGAGAGGGAGATTTGATGACCAACCTTGGAAGATTATGGAGAAAATTGCCTAGCAATAAAGTTAGAAACAAATTACAAAAATGTATTAAATGTATTTTTCTGGAACATGTCTTTAGTTCCTGGAAATGCGATTTCTTGTAAATGGCAAGATTATATAAGTCATAGAGGTGCATTCCTGTAATCCTAGCACTCCGGAGGCTGAGGCAGGCGGATAATGAGTTTGAGGTCAGCCTAGGCAACCTCGTGAGTCAAGGCTGGCCTGAACCACCCAGTAAAACAAAACAAAATAAAGTAGAGATTATATGGGAATTGAGATTAAAAACAACAGTGACAGCAGCAGAAACATTACAACTAGTAGTTTATTGTAAACTCAACCAGAAAGTATAGTAATTCTAAGAGCTTTTACTAAATTGAGGTTGTGCTTTATGTATTTAAAACACAGGTTTTGGGCCAAAATACTTTTATCTAGATGACAAATTTCTTATTAAGAATATTTTCTATTTATATAGTACTTTTAAGTGCTGGGGATGTAGCTCAGTGGCACAGTGCCCGCCTGGTAAGCACAAGATCCTGAGTTTGATTCCCAATACCAAAAAAAAAAGTCTTCTATGACACTTTATGCTGAAAAGATACTGAGAAAAATAACCAGTTTTACAGGTAGGGAAACTGAGGCCTGGTCGAATGACTTTCCCGTCATCTCTATCTGCATGTAGTACTGTGGTCAGGTATTTGAATTCCTAATCAAGTATACTTTCCACCGGAAGAGCAGCCTTCTGCTGTTTTTAATGCCACTTGTAAAAGGACCAGTAAGATATAAAAGTGGGCCTGCTTCAGGTACATCCGAGAGGATTTAGTAAAACTGTGCTTGACTGTGTAGCCTTTGACAGGGACGGTTGCCCCGGAGCCTTCCAGAGCACAGTTCTGCCAGCTCGCAGCGTCCATGTGCAGCCAAGCCCAGACCGCGTGCTGCTGCTGTTTGCATGTGGACTCGCAGTCTTAAAATACCTATGCCAACATTTTAATGTGGTTTAATTTTTATTTTCTATTTTCTTTGATTGCAGTTCTCCAGAACAAAAGGACAAATGGCTTTTCCTCCTTCAGAGGTATTTTTCAGTATGTTTACTTTTAATCCTTAATTGCCAATAAACAAGCTAAAAACTTTTCTGCAGAGATATACCCCAAACTATTCCCCTTTTAGTGGAAATTGTCCCTTTGTCCTCAATATAGGCTGTATGTAAGCTATACACTAGCTACTACTTGTTGTAAATAATGTTCTCTCATTATAAGTGTTTCTTTCTAGGAAAGAGAACATTAATATCTAGATCATTTTAGACAGAAATTAGTAATCTGTTGTTTCTAAGCTACCCTTTGGAGCTAAAAGGAGCTAACAGGTTCTTCAAAATATGTATTGCTTTCATAAATACAAGGTTTTTCACACAGCACCTCTCAAAAGTCAATAGTTATCCCTCCCATTGAGCCTGTGGGCTAAACGAGCCACTCTGGACTCACTGGTTAGCCCCACAACACTCCTGCAAGCAGGGGAAACCAGCATTTACATTTCACTGGAGAACAAAATGAGAAGAGATAGCAGAGTATTGTATGTCATCTTGTACTTACCTGCGCGATCCCTGCCTCATCAGAGGTGGCAGACACTAGGGGTGAGACGTCACCCAGAGGTGCTTTAACCTAATTATGTTTCTTAGCCCTCACTTGACATGGATGTCCCATTTTGTGTGTGCCCATGCCTAATGTCCTGAAATTTATTCTTTCAACCCATAATATAATCTGACTTTGCTGAGTCCTTGATGTCTTCAAAAACAGCCTGTACATATATTTAAAATATTAACAAAATAGCTTGATTTAAAAATAAGCCATTAGTGAATACCATCTGACTCAGTGTTGTTTTGGGTTGTTGTTGCGTTTGATTAGATACATCAATCTAGAGAAAGAGAAGGACTACCCGAAGAGCATTCCCCTCAAAATCTTCGCCAAGGACATTGGGAATTGTGCCTATGTAAGTGTTTCTCAGCCAGAAGATTAAATTCCATGTCCCTGCATTAGGCAGCAAGCTCCGTGGTTATAGTCAGGCAGGTAGACAGTGTTTATGCTGTGACAGGTAGGCTCTTAAAAATACCATAGGGGTCGGTGCATTTTCTTGGCGTCAGATGGACATCATTGCATGTCTGAAAATTAAACCCTAGAGAAAATGAAACAAGCATCTGTGTTAACCGCAGCGTTGAGCACCGGCACTTAGGAAGCGTGTTACCTCTCAGAGGTCATTGTCTTTGCTCTGGCTTGTGTGTTCCTCTGGAATCTCTGTAGTAAAGCTGTTTCCAGAAGGAGGCACTTCCTATATAGGCAGAGTTTTCCAGCTTGTAACTGGAGTGACTCTGAAAAGTTGCTCGTTTTTTAAGGTTTTAGGGATTAGATCCTTCTGGTTATAATGTGGATGATCCGGGACAGATGACGTGTTAAGAGCCAAGATATGATAAAAACATTTCTGTGACTCTGTGGACTGTCATTCTTCACAGCCACTCTAGATCACATGGAAGTTTTATGTGTGGAGAACTATGTAGCACAAAAGCTATGTTTGGGCAAAAGATACACGAGTGTTCTGACTCCTGAGAGCCAGTTGTCGCTGCTCAAGGGAAATACTCAAAATTTTGTGCTATGAGACGACAGAGATAGCAAAAGCAAAGCGGGGTGGAAGGGAAGATTCCCTTCCCTTCCCTGATTCAGAGGTGGTGGCAGTGATTCCCGTAGGGATTTGCTGGAAGTGCCGCGCTCACTTTGCACACGGAGGGCGTGTTCGAGGTGCCGCACTTGGCTTGGGTGGCCAGATTGGTGTTGGGCTTTATCACTAGTGTGAGTCAGGACAAAGTGACACCTATTGTTTTGCCCTCTTAAGTAGCATGCAAGGAAGGACACTCTTGGGGAGCCCTGCTTTCAGAGAATGATCCCCTTAAAAACAGCAGTGTGTATTTGTAAAGTATGTTTAACCTGGGCTGGGAATTGCGCACAACCTGTCAGTGAATTCTGCTAATACGGAACCGCATAGTGACGCTTGCAGTTCTGTCGGCTTTGTTACTTTTTACTAAAGAGCCTGAATTCTGAAATTAGTTTTGTTTAATCTCTCAGAAAGGCATGCAACATGTATGGTCTATAATGATTATTTTTAACATATGTGCCTAATGATAAGACAAATTATCTTTTTTTAACCCCATTCGATTCCATGGGAAAGACAAATTATCTTAGAAGCCAGATAATTGGAAGGAAGGTTCTCATTTGAGAGGGTTTCTTGAAATCCAATGAAAGTGATTTCAAGCTCTTAAAAATTTTTGAAATTACTTTTAAAATTTAACTCCTGTAGATCCGTGTCACACCGGTAAAGGTAGATTGTGGTCTGGGTACTTCAAACCTCCCTGTTAGGCTAAGACACTCTTGCATAATATTTGGAGCTGCAGGGAGCACATTTTGAAATTAATGCATTTACAGTGTTTAAAATTTAATTAGTAAGAAACGTTTAGAAATACTTGGTCTTGTCAAGTAGTTGGCATATAGGGAAGTAGTACTATAACAGAAGGACAAGTGTTAAATTATCCATGGATTTTACTTAGCTTTACTATTTATGTCCTATTTTTGGGACATTTTGTTATTTATACTACCTTTCCATTTGGCCAATGTTAACCTGGTCTGCCAGCCATGTGATCCTGATTGCTGGTTTATCTGATAGTCGACATATGTAAAACCTTCATGCAGAGCAAGACATTATTTTTGATAGGGTAGCAGGGCATGAAATGTTTTTTGGAATTCAGAGACCTTTATAAATAGCTCAGAATGTTAATGCCTTTTCTGTTTCTTAGACATTATGTGTTTTTAGGTAGTAATCTCAGTGTAATTTAGCATAGGACTGTCATAGATACCCAATTCAGTGATAGTTGGAAATAGAACAGAACTTTATGAAAGTTTTAGTTCTTTTTCCTGTATTTATCAGTTTTAAATCTTCTAAAGATGTCAGCAGTGAAAACCTGAGTAGCCACAATAACAAGCAACCAAAAAATAATAATTAGAAGCTTTAATTATTATATTTTGTAACTAGTTCTTACAGTTTTTACTTTAGCTGATTTATAGCATGCAAAGAAATAAAGCCCCATATTGTAAAAACAGTACTGAATAAAATTTTGTCTAAAATTCCCACTGCGTTATGGAATTGGGGGAGAGGGAGAAGTGTTGTGAGTCCTTTCCTCGCTTTGAAATAAATAAAAGTTACTGAGTCCAAGTTGTTGTATTCTGTGAGCCGCACGTGCTTTTAGAGAAAGTGATTTATTAAAGAACTTAAGATAGCAGGGAATAAAAGTAACTCACAACCAACAGTTGGTGTTCTGCTTAAGGCTTTGGCTTTGCTTGGTCCACACTTGAAGTCCAGATGCTCACTTGAATAGGATAGCCATCTGACAAGATTATTTGTTCACTTGCTTTAAAATTATTATATTTGTATTTCTTTTTTTCTACAGTCTAAAACTATAACAGTAACGAATTCAGATACAGCGAGTGAAGTTATCAACATGTCATTACGAATGCTAGGAGTAACTGTAAGTTATTCTGCTAGATGTTCTTAATTATAAATTTTGATACTTTAGATTCAAAGTAATGCTTATTTAGATGTATTATATCCTTTGTTCATAAGACAGCTCACTATTTGAGATACTAAAGTCATATTTTGTCCCCCAAAATACAAAAAATAAGGACAGGAAAGCTTTAATATTACCATAATATATTATTACCATAATACCATTTTATATTTTAAAACCTTTAGGACGGCCGGGAATATAGCTCAGCAGTGTATGTACCTGCCTGGCAAATGCAGGGTCCTGAGTTCGATCCCCGATACAAAGCAAAACAATAATATAAAACCTTTAAGGGCTGAAAAGTGTGATTGGACTCTAGTTTTACAGTAATATATTTTTATTATGTTATATATACACAAAAAATTTCATGGGATAAGCCTATTTCATGATGTAAGTGCTCTTAGTAAGGAAATCCAGCCACCATCACCCCTTCCTTCTCCATTCTTCTCGCTGATCTGCTCACCCTGCTGCTCTTACAGGACTGGATCTCAGGGTGATGGATCCTGATGGGTTTGCTCCGTGTTGGATTTTTCATAAGCAGCACCTGGCTGTGCGCCACATTAGTGTCAGCAGGTCCTGAGAACGAGGAAGCTGGTGCCTTGCATGAATTAGTAAATTTTAAACCATGGCTTTGAATTAGAGCATGGGTTTGAAGGCCCTTAGCATTCGTGCCATACACTTCCCTGGTTTGCTTTTGTTTTCTGCCCCTTTCTGTTTTTTGGTTAGAGGTGAGTTTTTGAAATATTATTAGTGGAAAAAATTAGAATACTTGAGGATGAGGTGTAGGGAAAGAGTGGAAAGGCTCTGCCAGCCTGCCTCCCTGCTGGTTACATAACTTTGCATGATAACCCCTTGTAGTGAAGAGCCTCTGGAAGGATGGAAACGGAGGAAAGCACTTGAACATTTTTAGTGAGATTCTCTACTATTAAAACACTATTACTATGATGTGACATGACACATTTAAAACATTCCATAATATTATTGATTATATTTAGATATGCTTTTACATATTGCTACACTAAGCCCTTAAGAACTCAGGGCAACCACACTTTAGGATAAGGAATCTGACTTATTAGTAAAATTCAATAATATATTTAAAATAGAATTAAATTAATACACTGTAACACGGGGTCAAGCAGGCATCTCTGCATCAATTTCTAATATTATATATATCTTAGAGGAGAGTAAATAGTTTTAGGGATAGGAGGGGAAATTAATACATCTTAGAGAAGAATAGTTTTGGGGGTGTGAGGGGAAATTAATACGTAACTCATTTTCCTATCTGTGCTTTTTCTAAGAGTTACCATATTACACAGATCAAAAAAGTACATTAAATAGGAATAGAAGATACTTGTTATACCTATTATAGGGAACTTTTACAGTGTTCTCAGATATTACATAAATCTTTTAAAAAATCGGGGGGATTGAACCGAAGATCTTCTCTCTGAATTACATTCTTAACTCTTTGTGTTTTGTTTTGAGATTGTCTCGTTCACCGTGTTTCCCAAGCTGGGTTTGAACTTGCAGTCCTCAGGCTCCCAGAGTGCCTGGATTACAGTCCTGCACCACCACACCTGGCTAGAAGGAAGATTTTTATTAGGTTTCTGTTCTTCCGTGACGGGGGATTGGGCAGGGAAGATACGACAAACTGCAAGGGGCAGGAAGGGGCAGGCGGCCGTCTGTATGGTTCTCTCCCTAGCCAGGAACTTCTGTTAAAAGATAGGGTCATGATTTGAATTAGAAATTAAAGACAAGAATGTGAAATTTTGCCAGAAGACCTGACTATCTGTTCTAACTTTGTTTAAAACACTTTTGCTTTATCCTTCCTAGAGGATTCAGCAAAGTCATATAATTTACTATTATTTCTTTCAAGTGGGGTTTATAGTGTTGCTGGGTTATAATTCTGCTAGTGAAAAATTTTATTGTTTTCCCTGACTGGCCTATTCTCTAGCGAGAGTTCTAATTATTTCTGTCCCCTAGACTAGCTTGCCCAAAGTAAAGCCAGTGCAGCCTGTGCCGGCTACCTATCTCCTCAAAACCTCTTGGTCATTCAGATTCATAAAAGACTGGCTTTTCCGAATCAGAAAGTTTATTCTTCCTTTGAAAAAGGTCCTTACCTACCATTTCACACATTCCACAGGTTTTCTGATACAGGGAGGGTCCAGTTCAATTACAGGTTGTGGCTCCCTGTTGAGCACTTGAAGGATAGGATTCCCAAGTCCTCTTGGAGAATGGGAGCCTAGATTGCAGAAATCAGCATATTGTCTATCTTAAAAACCTATAACATTCCCATGAACCTTGTCTGCAGGTTTTTCTTTTTTGCAAAGCATAAAAATGTAATGATATAAAATCTAGCAATACTATTATTCACTGATCAGAGTGATATTAGTCTAGTCTCTTAAGTTCAATTTCAGCATATGTAAAGACAAGGACAGCTACTACGAAGAGAATGAGAAATGCAATGGTAGTTATTATTGTCTTCCCCAATGTCAGATCTTGAAGACCTAAAAAGCCTTCATCATCCTGTAATGATTTGATTAGTTCTATAATATGCAGTATGTATTTAATGTGTGTGAAGATGGGGACAACTATTTGGAAAAAACTAGAGACAATAAGATAGACAGTGAAGATCTCCAGTGGACTTGCTTTGAAATCTGTATTTCTTTAAATTGTTTTTTTTTAAACTGTTTTGTTCTGTTTTGTCATGTTTAATCTTACCCTCTTTAAGATATAAAATAAGTGTGTAGGACTGATAACCATATTACTGAGTTCTTGTTGGATCATTGAGCAGAACTGTTGGCAGTGTCACTATTTGAATGTCATTTTACATACTTTAATTTTGTAACCTGAACAGCTATTTCTAAGATGACAATATGTAACTTATCAACTGGTGATTTCTTACCATTTATTTTTCTGTAATTCTGTATTATTTCTACCCTTTTTTATCTCCATGTATTTTTTGTTTCTGTCTCTTTAAATTAAAAAAAATGTAAAATGTTGTTTCCTTCATTTGAGTACCAAATGTATTAAAATGTATTTTAACTTTTAATTTTTTTTAATCCTCCAGGGTTCTGAGAGAGATTTCCAGTTATGGGTCAATTCTGGAAAAGAAGCAGCACCCTACCCACTCATTGGTAAGTTTCTATGAAAATCTCAGAGAGCATTGTGTTTTACTTTAATTCTGAATGTCTCAGAAATGGTCAGACACCCCAAGCTTAAATCCTATTAAATCTCATGTGATACGTAGTTAACATCTGTTAAGCATTTATTTTGCGCCAAACATTACTATCTTTTCACTTAGGCAGCTAAAACACGTAAGTAAGAAAGAAAACAAGTTTTTTCCTTTAAAGTCAGAACAGTCTTGCCAACTGTTTTTTCTTAAGAAAACAATATACATGCAAGTATTACTTTCTCTCCATACATTTTTTGTATTCCAATTTTTGATTTTCATGTACATTCTCCTGCCAATTACACTACTTTGCTAGGGAAGTAATCCAGTTGTTCATCTCAGCCCAGCACCTGCCCTGTTCCCAGAAGTTCCCGAGGTGTCGTAAGGAAAAGATTTAATTCGTTTTGACTCCTAAAGGTCTTTGCAGACTGATTTACCAACTAAGTATTGCTTACTGCACCGGCCGATGTTTCTCTAGCCAGATTTTCCAGCATTTGTTTTGAGAAAACATTAGAAGATTAGATCTCATACAGAGATGAATGGAAAACTGACCATATTTCAGGTGCACTTTTTAAATGTTGCCATTTTTATAAAAATAAATGAGCAAAGTGAAAGTTGTCATTACTTACAATTATTTAGATCAGGTAATTTAATTAAAACTAGGTGGCACCCTGTAGGTCTGCAATATTTTCAACTTTCATTACTAGCTCTTACTGAAAAACTATGAGACATGTTTATCCTCTTCCTGGCAGCAATTCTTTTATGTTTGCTATATATAAAACATATGTTCATGGTGAAGTATTGCTACATATACATATTGCATATTAATTCTTTTTTCATTCCCTTTTATGTGCCTTGTAAAACAATTGTAGATTAGCTGCTGGCTATTTGATAAATGAATTTTGTATTATTGCTGTTATAGAAGCCTTTTAACTTATTCCCGGAAATTAGTATAATGTCTAAATGTTAATACATTTACAGTTTGTGCCTGTGCCACTTAAGTTAAGAGTTTATTGAGTTACATTCAGTGATCAGAGAACTTACTCTCTAAATTTAGAGAATTTATAGCACATAATATTTATAATTACACTGCAAGGATGCAATTACTTAAATACTGCAGAAGAGAAATCACAGTTTTAGTCAGACGTCCGGGGTTTAGTTTTTCTGCTTTGTAAGTTCTCCTTTGCATGTGTGTGTCTCTAACTCTCTGTGGTCTTCCTTATGATTGTGGCCTGTGAACACCAGCACCAGCAGCAGGTGGAGGAAGCACAGAGCAAACGAGTCCCAGATGCTCTTGAAAAGTTTTTTTTTTTTTTCAGACAAGCATACTCAAGAAACACAGTAGTGATGCTTGATATCTTTAGTTTTTCATCCTATTTAAATAATTTCAACTGCTCATATGTATTTATTTGATCCTCATAATGCTTGAAACAGAGGATAAATATTTAAATCATGAATCTGAAGTCCAGCAAGCTCGTGGAGCTGGTGAAGATTTATAGATCTAGTTGGTGGAAAGGAGAATGCCTTTAAATTTTGTTACACAAACACAAAAAGTGAACACTCTACAGTTCACACACTGATTTATGCCATCGTTCCAAATAAGATATTCTTTAACATTTTTTCTTGCCCCTCCATACAACTACTTTGCTAACCAGCGTTATATGGTGGCTTCCAGCTCTTTACAACAAAAGTCCCAGGAATGAATTGCAGTCATTGCAGACTATCTCATGTGCTTACCCACTCAGCTGGAAGTCTACACTTAGATTTCTGTCTTTATAGGACATGAATTTCCCTATGGAATTAAAATGAGCCATCTTCGAGACACTGCACTTCTGACACAGGGATCAAAAGACTCTGCCACCCTTTCCAGTCTTCAGGAGCCCTTCCTTATGGAACAGCTGCCCCGAGAGATGCAATGCCAGTTCATCCTGAAGCCCAGCCGCCTGGCTGCCACCCAGCATCTAAGTGGTGAGTCGCTTCTCCATCATAGAGCATTTATTCAGCAAAAGTTCACATTCCTGAGCACAAATTTAATGCAAACAGAAAGACTGGTTTTGACCCAGATGAGGTATTTTTAATTTACTAATAAGTATCTTAATAAATATAAGATAAATATATCTAATAAATATCTTAAAAAGAAAAGATGGAGTTCTAGACAGTGGTTTTATAAATCAGCCACAGGCATCCCTGACCTGTAAGCAGCATCAGACAGCAATGCAGTCTGTCCTTCTGTCCCTGTCCTTTTGCCCTTTAACTTCATGTGAGTCAGAGGCACAGGCAGTGCTGTAGATGCTCCAGTACCTGTGTGGTACTCCAGTACACTGCGCTGTATGGTCATATCATAGGGAGGAAGCTGCCAGTGATGGTGTCACAGGACTGATGCCCTGTGTGGACCTTCGGTGTTGTGAAGACTATCATGGCTTCCACAGGACTCTCTCCTTAGCCTGCTAATCTGCGTTCCCTGGGAACATGACATCTGATGCCCTGCTTTATTCAATGAGCTGTTTTCAACGAAAGGCTAATAATCTTTAATTTTTCTGGACATGTTTCTGCGTCTGCTACAAGCATGCAATATTTAATCATCGCACCATTTGTAAATGACTTTCCTTTAACTGGATAACAAATGAGCCCTGAGACTTTCGTTAGCACTTCATTTTCATTATTTGGGTCAAGTGCTGCACTGATGAAACTTTCCATTTTAAATGTTCTAATTTTTCTGACCTTTGCTTTCTTACATTGATGTGTACTTAGTGTACAGTGTAATGTATTCTTTTATCACAGCCATTGTACAGTAAGCACGATATAATCGTACCTTGTTGCACACAGTTGTTTTGAAACTCCTCAAATTTGATACCCAAAAATTGCATCTTGGCTGAGCTTGGTGGCACATATCTGTGATCCTGGCATTTGGGAGACTGAGACAGGAGGATCATCATTAGTTCAAGGCCAGCCTGAACTATGTAGAGAGGCTCTTTCTCAAAAACAAAATAATGGGGCACAAAAAAAGAAAATACTTTGTGCTGTTACTAGTTCTTTGTTTAATATGCAATGTGCAAGTTAGAACTTGTGAGTGCCGATTGCCTTGTGGCCTGCTACTTTTTCCAGCCAAAACAATTTAATACCATTTAATGAATGGCAACAAGGTACCGCTGTACTTTGTCATTTAATTCAATAATAGAATGATCCATAATTCACTGTCTTAAAAAGTCAATATAGGAAATCCACTTTACTCATCATACCAAAACAAGGAAAATGAACAAGATGTGACAGTGTCATGGTGCGTTGAGACAGTGTGGATGTGGAATGGAGTCGTTGGAGCTTGCAGAGCCCTGAGCACAGAGCGAATAAAGCACCCTGCACACCAGTTCTGTCCCAGCTGTTCAGCGCTCCGTGGAGTGGAGTGGAAAGCAGGCACATGGGCAGTACGGGAGAAACGAGGTGGATTCCAGTAAAACCGTCACACACAGCAACATTCCAATTTAATGTTTAGGTATCACAAGGTATAAGCTAGATTTTTGTCAACTTTTTAAAGGCATAAAAACCACTCTTCATGGGTTTCCAAAGGGATGCCCGACCAGCGTAGCACAATCTTTGATTCAGAAGATTAAAATGCAAATTTAGTCAAAAACATTCCAGCCAAATTCTCGGTATCTACTAGACTTAGTAACAGAGCTTTGCAAGTAACATAACCATCTCGTTTGACTTCAGTCTCTTACATCTCTGGAGTGCTTTAATTAGAAATGGTAAAGACAAAATGCATCTCGAAAAGACTGAAAAACCATAAAGAGTCTAGAAATTGTACAAATGAAGTTACTGGCCTCTGGGTGGTACTTTTCATGAAATTATCCAGTAATTTCTACGTAGACTTAAAAGTTTATAAATACTTTTTTAAGCTTCAACAGCACCACTTGAGATGACATCAGCTTACTCCGTAGATGAGCACACTGTGTCTGGCGTCACCGAGTGTGGAGCAGCGCTGCTCAAACTCCACTTGCATCTTCTGTCCTCGAGCTCTGTCCCTGTCGCTGGACCTGACCACCCCCTGTGTAGGCCAGCTCACTCGGTCAGACAGAGCACTTCCACTGCTTCTGCTACTGCTCTTTACGTTTAGTTTGGTGCCAGTGTGAAGATGAGAGATTTTCATTACTCACGGAACTTTATATTGCATAGAAAATAGGACTATATAATTATCAATGTGCTATACATTATTTAAAATCCATAGAACTCAAATTTTACATTGGTTACTCTTAGGAAATAGATGTTTTGTGTAGAAAATTGTACCCTATTTTTAAGGTTCACAAAAAATGAAATCAGCAGCTAATTTCCATGAGAATATTGGATGACAGCAGTAAGCACCTGAGTAAAATAAAACTTCAGGTCTGCTTCTAACAGGGCTTTTTCTACCCGTTACCCTGCCTCACCTTGGGTGAGCACAGTCATCCCCAGGCTCTTTTCTTTTTAAATTCCTGCCTCAGTGTGAGAACTCTTCCTACTGAACAGCCTCACACTGCAGATAAACCAGAAATTGATAGGCCATCCCTGAGACTTGGATCACCCTAACTTGTCTTTGGGGTGATTGGTTCCCAGTGAGACAACTCCAAGTGCAAATGCAGAGTTCAAAATGTATACATCCAAATTTCTGACTGCAAGACCCAACTCAGACGTCACTTCTAGGAAATCTTTTTTCCTTGCAGGTATTTGCCCTGCTTCAGTGTCTTCAGAGCACTTGACACTTACATTCAGAAAGATACATTTTTTAAAAATTATGCCTGTTTATGTATCTGTGTGTAGTTTTAGAACATGTGTTTCTTAAAGCCTGCAACCCTATTCCAAGATTTATTGTAGTCTATAAACAGAGCCAAAGTTACATGAAATATTGTATAGCTTAGTTACAGCTAATATGGAAAAACTGGAGTAGAGCAGAACAGTTCTGGAAATAAGTGGGGTGTGGTCTCTCTTGGTGGCGTTCCAAGCCTGAGCTGTGCCCCCAGTTCTGTGCCGGCAGCAGGTTCACTCTCCACATTTGCTTGAGACCCCGAACCGCGCTGGAATCAGACAGACTCTCATGGGAGGAGGCAGCTGACCGGCACAGGTGCTGCCTTTTCCCTGTATCAGTGTCCCACTCTGGGAGAGAAATCGATTCTTAATTAGAGAGCTTATGGCCAGGATAGCAATCTGTTTGTTGTTGTAACAATTATTCTATAAACAAAGTTCACCAATTATATTGTTTTATGATTTAAACATGACAAAGAACACCAAGCCTGGATCTTGCAGGGCTTATTTAGGGAGGCTAGAATGATCTGAATTTAGTGTGCTTCATATTTTATCATCTTTGTTTTTTCTGACAATGCCATGTTTTTATTAGCACTAGACATTTAAAAATAATCAGTACACATTAAGAGGTCTGCAACAAAGTGAACTTTAAAGCACTCTTTTTCTTTAGGTCTCAGAACCAAAGTTTTCAGATCAGATGCTATATACAATGCAAGATATGGCTCCAGCTGAAAGTATTTAGGAAAAACCAAAGAATTCAATTTCTGCTTTATTTTGGCTTACATATAAGATAGGTTAGTATGTAACTTGTTGATAGAACATTCTTCTTGGGTTTTTTGTTTGGGGCTTTTTTGTTTTTGTTTTTTGTTTTTCTTTTGTTGGGTACCGAGAATCAAACTCAGGACCTTGCACTTGCCAGGGAGGCGCTGCACCACTGAGCTGTGTCCCTGGCTCAAGAACATTCTTCTTAAGCAGTGTGTGAAAGCTAAAACCCAAATCCGATAATTTTAGAGTAAAACATACCCATAAACCAGTCTCAGCACAGTAATTCACTTAACATATTAAATAAATTACTAAACATACAGGAACTCCTTTCTGAATTAAAGAAAGCATTTAGTTTCTCCTGTTTTGTGTTTTAAAGATGGTGGTTGGGAATGTCAGGGCAGGAAGAAAGTGCTTCAGTGAAGCAGAGTACCCCTGTTACCCTGCATCACCTGGGGTGCTTGGTTCAGGTGGTAGCCAGAGATATGAACAGAATTTATCCACAATATTTGAAGATCCTGCAACAAGATTTTCTCCATTGTGGCAGTTCCTTTCCATTTCTAGCTACGGTGGCTACATTCTCTCTCCTCTCTCTTTCAATCCAGTAAAAAATACAGTTTTCTCTCAAGATTTTGTCCCTCCACTGTCCCAGTGTCTGTCTTCATAATAAGAGCTGGAAGAGAGAAAAGTCACCCAGGCTCCAGGCCATCCCCCTCTCAGGTGTCAGACTTGTACCTCAGAGTCTGCAGTCTGCAGATACTCTTGGTGCCTTTAAACAGGGTCATTTTGCTTGTCCCGGGTTAATAGTTATCTGTGCTTACGTGCTGAGTGGGTGGGAAGGAGAAAAGTGTCAATCACGTTTAGAGGTGAAACTTTAAAGAGCTGTCTTTTATGTTCAAGTTGAAAGCTCAGTAACTTCTGTGTTAAAACTAGATACACATGATGTCAAAAATGCTTTGGCACTGTGGTATCATGAAGTCATTTTCTCTCAGGCTGGCTTATTACTGTTTGGCTAATGTTATTTTTTTCCACATAACCCTTTCCTCAGTTTCAGTTACTCAGCAATGCTTTCTTAAGTTCAGGGTGAAAGGTGCTATTCTGGGTTCTCCATTTATTGAAATCTTCATTCAGAATCTAACCCAGTGGAGTGTTCCAGAATTCCTCGCTTTCCTTCTGTTAGATAGGTGTGATTTACTGCCGTCTGAACGCCTTTGATACTGCGCTCCTCCCTTGTGACATTTATTAACATATTTTTCTCCCACAACCACTAGTCTTGTTCTCTCTTATAAACTTCAGTGTGGCAAGGGCCTTTCTACTAACTATACTATAAACTGGAAATTATACAAATGAAGTTAAGTGAATTAAACTAATTTTCTTAATAATCCCACTTCTTAGATTCGGGTCAGAAGACAGTTAGGAGGAGGAGGTCTATCATAAACTGGGCCTTTTGGCGGGGTTCTAGCACTCACCTGGACAACCTGCCCATGTCACCAACATCGCCTGTACCAGGACAGCTCTTTGGAGTTTCTCTGCAAGATATTTGTGAAAACGACAATCTGCCCAAGTCTGTCCTGGTAAGTCTCAGTTGGGCCCGTAAACTAATGAGAAAGGAGGTTCAGGTACGGTGAGACTTGGGAGGCGAATCCGTGCCAAATGGAAAAATTATAGCACACCCAACTTTGACTAAAAGTTTTTATCTTCAAAAAAAAATCTGAGTTAGCTATTAGCAAATGAAAAGGAAGACATAAAGAGACAATCAGTGGACTCTACTAGCTTTGAGAAGACAGTGTAAGCCTGCCGGGATAAATTGGAACTTGCTCCCTACACAGAAAATCCACATTATCCCTCACAAATCATTTCTTGAAACTCCACGTTGTTCTGAAAATACCATTTTATCACTAAGCAGAGACTTCTCAATCTTACTGTTTAAAGTTTTGAAAACTGCTTTTTCTTCAAATGTTTAGACATCAAAATTTATTCTCTGACAGTTTACCATCTTCTATCAGTTGAGCTGGTGATGCAGCCCAGAGTCTGCTGTGAGTCTCCAGTGGGGCCTTAGACTGTAGTAAGTGTGTGCACTGATGCTGTGTTGTGCTTGTGTCAGTGCTGGACGCCGGGTAGCCACTTTAGTATCATAGCAAAAGTCAGACAGTGGTTTTCACTATCATCCTTACTTTACAAACTAAAAAGAAAAAGACTTGGTATCTTAAAGATGATTACACAGTAAATAAGTGGCATAATTGGCTTTAAATCACAGGGGTTGGTTTCCTCAAAATTCATTCTCTTCCTGTACTGCAGGGAGAGCTGATAAACAGCAACATTAGAGAAAATTAGCAAAATCAGCAGTTTTCAAAAATGTATTTTTATTAACTATAGTCACCGCGTTATGCAATAAATCACCTGAAAGTTTTCTTCCTAACTCAAATTCATACCCTTTGACTAGTGTCTCCACTGCCCCGGCAGGCCATCAAGCCCCTGGCAAACACCGTTCTTTCCTCTGAAACAGGTCTGGCTCTGGTCGTTCAGGGCTTTCACGCTGGCCTCTGGCAACCACAGAAAGGGAGCACTTGTCCCACTCTCGTTGTATGTGAAGGAGTCATTGTGTGCCTTCCTGCTTTCCCGTAGGATATGCTTTTCTTCCTTAATCAAAAAGGACCCCTTACAAGGGGTATCTTCAGACAGTCGGCCAACGTGAAGTCCTGCCGAGAGCTAAAGGAGAAACTGAATTCAGGAGCCGAAGTACACCTGGACTGCGAATCAATTTTTGTGATAGCATCTGTCTTAAAGGTAGGAGAAGTTCACCTTTTATATATCCCACCATGCACTTCTGGAACAGGGTGCTTTGTTTGTCTGTTTATAAACAGTAATCCCGTGTGCAGAGAATAATAGACATAGAGCCTAGAAAGTGTGAAAATATTCCACGAAATCATCATTAGATTTGAAAAGCAGCCACCACTGAAATGTCCAGTTAGATGTACTTTCTCTTCTAATTTCTTTATCTTACCTCCTGCTCAAAAGCTTTCATCATCTTACTGTCTTTCTAATGAAAGCAAAGTTTTCAAAACTAAACTTTTATTAAGCTACTGAAAATAGTTACACAAGTTTACCATAATAACTATTTATTTGCCTTAAAACTGTAACAAAAAATTGCTGAGACCATTAAAAATTCCATTCATATCTGTGATCATCATCCCCATAAATATTCCCTCTCCTGGATCCCTGATGCTCAGGTGTTTCTTGGGAAGAGCATGCTGTAGATTCTTACAATAAAACATCACTCGAGAACTGGAGCTAGGGTCATCTGGTCTGTTTTGAATAGGATGTTGATTGAATCCTGGTTTATGATTATGGTATAATAAATATAAATGCACCGTGACTTTTTCCCTCACATGACTGGGCCTCCTCTCCCTTAACACAGGAAGGGTAAAGCCTTGTTTCAGAAAAGTTTCCTTGCTGTTCTTCACAGCCAGCACCGCACTTATTAAAAATTTATGCTAAATTATTGAAGTATTGCAAAGAAATATGGTTCTGGAAGAGCTAAGTTGTGTTTCAAAGTGTGAATTTCGTGTTTCCAAAGAAAAGACTCCTCCCCCAAAAATGACATAAATGATTGAATAAAGTAGTTAAATGGATTTTAAATAACTGAAGTTTTGTCATTGAATAACTACATTACTCCTCTTCAAGTGATTTCAGAAGATAATTTTTGCCAAAAATTTGGACTTTTTTAGGTGATACAACTTTCTTGTTTTTAAGACTATTTGGAAGTACTACTGATGATGTCCTTTAACTTTTTCTCATACACTGGTTTTGCTTAAATACAAGCCTAATTCTTCATCCTATAATTGGACCCAAATTGCCTGAGGTACCAAAATTTGAGGAAGAGTTTGTATTTCATCCACAGCTTCTTAGACAAATTGGAGAATTCTAATGACCGGGCGCCAGAGTAGAAGATGAGACCGTCCACGGAGTACTGCAGGCCTGTTTGTAATTCAGAGCCAGCTCTCAGACACCTCTCAGCTGTGCTGGTGGTTGTATTTCATAACCTGTTATTCCAGCTGCGGGAGAGTTCACTGAGAAGTTACAAGTTAGTATCTTCAAGGGTCAGTTTAAGATTTAGTGATGTTTTTCTTCAAGAGAGATCATAAACATGTTTTCCAGCGATCGTTTTTAAAGAGCAAGGGTCACTACCCCAATTTGAAATAACAGATTTTATGTCTTCTAAATCTGACATAAAGTAAGTGCAGCATCTAAAAGTAGTTTGGACTTAGGAGAACTTTCCAAAAAAGAGGAATTTTTTCATGATAATGTGTCTGAACCACAAGTAACTAGGTACATCTCTGTTGGGATCTATGTTAAAAAGACTTTGGATCAGCCCATCTCACTAACTGGTCTTAAAAAGGACGGTGATAGACTGTCTTAGCCCCTCAGTTGGCCCCTTCCGTGTCCCCCTTTAATACTACGCCTGGAGACATGGTGTCCGGTAATGGCCTGTAGTATAGCTGGGGCTGTGCCTAACATTCACTGTGCAAAGGCGAGCCCCTGCCCGGCCCTGAAGGAGCCTGTGCCCAGGGAGGGAGATGCCTGCATGATGGACTGACTGTTGTGGTATGCTGTCCCAGCTCCTGAATTAGTAATAAACATGATACAAAGTAACAAGCTTCCACAAGGCATGTAAATAGTCACTGATTTGGTTTTGTAGCAAGAGTATTTTAGATTTTCACCTCTAAAATAAGAATTTTCAAGTGGCAGCCAACCATGTACCCATTCAATTGAGTTCTCCCTACCTAAAGTTTACTAAAGTGAACATCTAAGAGCCATTCCAAAAGCAACAGAGCTTTGGCTTCAAACCAAGGCTGTCAGACCAAATTCAGTTTACTTTTAAGCTTTACACAGGCTGTATCATGTGGTTTTATCACACCAAGTCCCACTCCGTGTTCTCCAGGAAAGGATAATACACTTAGATATGTTGTTCAGTGTACGTAAGGCATACTGGTGCTCCTGTAAGTTCTCAGATCCTGTCCATCACTGAGAATATTTTCTTCCCCAAAATACATGCTAGCCCTTCTATGGGGAACACAGGGAAAAGTCAGTCATAAAGCAATACCACTGGAATAGATATCCCAAAGTAACCAAGACTTCGTATTTTTTTTTTTTTTTGAAATGTACCAGACATTGTTTGATTGTTTGGGATAAAGAAGCAAACAAAATTTGGAATGATTAGATTAATGGTTACCTAATTGTGAACCTCACAGGCATCTTTAATGAATTTCCTTGACCTTGCTACTTGAGGGAGAAAAATATTGGGCATGCTATTGCCAGTCCTTGACGTGCTATTCTAATATAAAATGTATTTAAACAGGATTTTTAAGCCCAAAAAATTGTCCTTTATTTTTCTCACCATAATGCAGACTTAAATTATCCCAATGGGTTTTGTTAAAAAACAACTGAAATGTGATTTTATGTGGATCAAGTCAGTGGAGAGTTAGCACAGCCTGGTACTTTAAAGAAGACGACTTTTCAACAAAATACTCCATCACAGTTTGTACGAGAATGATGATTTAAAATCTTTGTCTTTTCATGTGTGTAAGGACTTTCTACGAAATATTCCAGGAAGTATTTTTTTATCAGATATCTATGATCACTGGGTCTGTGTCATGGATCAAGGAAATGATGAAGAGAAAATAAATGCAATTCAAAGGTAATTGTTCTAATTTCCTCATGTCTCAAAAATACTTGTTTTTTAAGCTTGCCTGTTAAAATACTGCGAAGTCATTTTAAGACAGATTTGTGCTCCTTCTGTCATTGTGTTCCTTGTCTACTGTTGCTGACGTGGAACACTTGAACGTACACCTTCTGTGTATCTCAATCCAAGAGAGATAAACCGTTAATCCACTAAATAATACCATAGACCTAATCTACAGTTCATGAACTTAGCCTAGGGAAAGGCGTAATCACACAAACCCTTATCTGTTTCATTCAGTAAGTGAAACCATGCACAGAAGATGACCGGTTCCCTCCCCTCCTCTCTAGTAATTCACGCTCTAACACTAGTTGAGTAAACCCATAATGACAGCTGCAGTGCGGTGTCATCTGTGCTGTAAGAAAGGGTGGAAGGGGCTGTGTGGACGCATGGCAGAGAAGCAGGCGGCCCCTGGGGAAGTGACGCAGGAGAGGGAGGTGCATGGTCATCTGCTCACGAAGAACGCAGTGTCTCAACTCAACAGGGAAGTTGCCGGTGAAAGTTACAGAACAGGAGGGTAGGAAAGAAGGCACAAGACGGCACTCCAGTTCTTGGAGCCTGTGAGTCTTGGTGTTTATTTGCATGTGCCTGTTTTTTCCTGGAGCAGTATTTAAATATCTACACACTGCTATTGATAGATTTTTTTTTCATCAATATGACATTGTATAGCAATTGAAGGCTCCAGAACCCAAAACCATGTAACATAATACTACACCTGCTTATGCTACAGCTCGGTAAGAACCATTCAGGTAGTTCCATCAAATTCCGTGTTGTGTTGCTCACTGGTTGAAACATTTTATTAGTAAACATCAAAGATTTAAGTCATTAATTAATTAAAGATCCAGTAAAATATTACAGTCAGTTCAAAGGAGATTTTAGAATACTTAACAAATTAATCAGCAATGCTGAAGTGAGTTTACAAATAGATACAAAACCAGCTTTTTAAAAAACCGGGACAGGGTGTGTACCAGTGTCTCACTGCCAGATAAGATTTCATTCTGTAGACAAGTATTAGATGTACTGCCCTCAGTTATCTATAACTTTCAGAGTTGTAAGCTGGATCATAGATTTAGGGCCCCATTAGAATTAGATAACCCAAAATCATATACTGGATTGAATACATTCAATCTTTTGATCTTGCTTAAACTTTCCTGATTCGCCCTGTCAGTGATAGACGTAGTCAGTCCATTGTACCAAAGAAAGGCACGGGAGCGAAGACTGTCCTGTTGCCCTAAGGTTGTAAATTCTCACAGAAAAAAGCAAATCAAGAGCATCAGTATTTGAATGCATGTTTTCTGGACAGCAGTAAAAATCACTTACAGTGAATGTCATTTGAGAATCATGTTTCATTACACAATGTTAACAGTAGAAAATAGACTTTTATAAACGTGACTACTATGTGAAAGTGATAGCGATGGACAAATACCTGAAACAAAATTGATGTCAGAAGATGTAGAGCGGAGCACAGCTCTCATGGTGGAAGTCTTAAAGATTGAAGTTTGGCTTCTCCTCAAGAGACGGCGCTTGTCTGCTGCTGCCTGGAAATGAAGAAGCATTTTAATCTTACTAGACAAAATTTTGTGGGTTTTGACTGAATATTGCAGAATTTGCCTAAATTAAAGCATGTGATACTAGTTCCAAAGAATATTTCAGGAAGCATTTTTGAGATACTTTTTTCATTCTTTTACATTAAATTTTGAAAACAGTGTACCAAAAAATAGTAATTCCGAATGCTTGTTTTCTTTCTGCGTAAACACTGCTCACTTTGCATGGTACCATAGGAACTGAAACTCCTGCATATCTGAACTTGTGCTTGATTTGCATGGTTCTCTATGCAGATTGTCTGTTTTTAAGTGGAATGTCTTGCTTCAAGAGGATGTTTTTCTGTCTTTTAGACTATTGGACCAGCTTCCTAGAGCCAATGTCATTCTCCTAAGATACCTGTTTGGGGTATTATACAACATTGAGAAAAATTCCTCAACCAATCAGATGAACGCATTTAACTTGGCGGTATGTGTCACTCCAAGCCTCATTTGGCCTCCTACTTCCTCCAGCCCTGAACTAGAACATGAATTTACAAAGAAGGTAATGACTTTCCTTCATTTGTATGCTCTCACAGACTAAAAATCCATTTTGAAACTGAAAATAATGATCTTCTGAAAAACAGTCCATAGAAAACCATACCTCCCTATATAAAATCGAGCTTCCTGGCTGTGCAGTGTTCTTTTCTATCCTGTAGACTCCCGGAAGGTATACAATATAAGCAGAAAAGTCATAATTTTGCTTTTCCCTGTAAGGAAGCTAAACAGTAAGACAACTCAAAGTATAGACTGATAAGAAAACCGTTGTTTAAACAAAATAAAAGTAAACTTTAGAGTTAAACAAATAGAAATTAAAGTCTCTATGCCACTGTTTGTCAGATGTACGATCCTGGTTAAGTTGTTAAACTAGCTTACTAAGTCCTCATCGTAAAAAGCGGACATGGTGGTGATGCAGTGGTTACTTAGCCTCAGCCCCCTGCAGCGCCTGCTGCTAAGGATTTGGGATGCACTTCCCTTTGGTCCCCACATTTCTTGTGCCTCTTGGCTTCAGCTGCTGGAGCAAGAAAACTGCAGAGAGGTTCTAGTGCGTCTGCGTGGAGGCACGAAGCCTCCCGGCAACTTAGCTGTGCGCACCATGCGGTAAGGACTGTGGCCTTGGGCAGCGTGCAAGTTAGAAACCAGCCAGCAAATCACACATCTGCCTTCCACTCATCTCTCCTCCATGTACACCCACGGGATCCCTTTTACCACACTGTAGCGATCTGCCCTTTACATAGCGTTACCTGTTCATACTTTATAAATTTTACTAACAAAGCATATTCACCCCCAAGAACTCAGGACGAATTACCTTGAAACTGCTCTAACTTTAAACACAGAGCCATTGTATAGTATTAGCATTAAGCCAAGGCTCCAAATAATAATTTGAGTCTGCTGATTAAGAGTATTTTAAAGAAGAAATGGTGGTGCATGCCTGTATCCCAGCTCCTGGGGAACTGAGGTAGGAGCATTGCAAGTTCAGGGTCAGCATAAACGACATAGCAGGATCCTGTATCAAAACAAGAGTAAAAATGACTTGGGCATAGAAAGAAAAATATCCTAGTCTTTTGGGGAACCTTTTGTATACTTTTAAGGTGCACAGCATATTTTTCTGTACTTTTAAAATGTTTTTCCTATGGATTTTTGCTTTTTGCTAGAAATCAGGATTTAAATATGAAATGTAATTTATGAACATGATATGAAAAGCAGCACTTTAATTTTGTCTTTGTATAGGTTTCTCTGCTTATACAGTTTCTGATTGAAAATTGCTGTAGGATATTTGGACATGAAATCACTTCCCTCTTTGGAGAGATTTCAGTGAGATGTGACACCAAAGAGAATTCTTCAGGTAATGGGAGAAGTTGATGTTTTACTAGTACATCTGTGCAGTACATGAAGTTCACATGCATCTTGAGGAGTAGTTCAGGTGCATGGACATAGCAAGCTTGATTACTTTTTAATCGCCTTCCTTCCCACCTGGCTCCCTCCAGCTCTAAATCCTCTTTCCCTGTTTCATTCTTACTATTCTCCTTCCCTCTTAGGACACACAGTATCTGTACTCACTGTGGGTGTTCGGTACGTGTCCATAACACATCTGAAACCTTGGCATTTCTTTACCTGCCAGCCTCCCCTCGGTCTCCTGGATCCCTTCACACCTGCAGCAGATACTCCTCCCTGCTTCCTTCTATGAGTACTTTATTTTGCCCTTTATTGTACTTTGCCTTACTCAAATGAGGGCTACCACGTGGTATTTAAGTTTGTGTGTCTGAATTATTCACTTAACATTTTTCCAGATATTTCTATTTTCCTATAAATGTTGCAAATGTATTCTTCTTTATAGCAAAGTAGTATTCCGTGGTGTCTAGAGAGCGCATTTTCTTTTCTGTTCACCTGTTACTGGACAAACAGGTTACTTCCAAGAGTTAGTCACTGTGAACTGAGTTGCAGCAGCCTCGGTGTGCCTGTGCCATGGTAATGTGATGTCTTTAGCTCTTTGGGGCAGATACCGAGGTGAGCAGCTGGCTCCAATGGAATTTATAATCTTAGTTATTTAAGGTACTGTTTTTAATGAATAGAAGCAGGGCTGTGAACATGCCAGGCCAGTGACTGTCAGATGACCGTAGCAGCTGAGGTGAAGGGAGCCTGTGACATGGGCTGTTGGGCCCCAGAAATTTCATTTTTCTGTTGGAAAGCCTGCTGACAGCACGGCGAGGCTAAGAAATGTGTCAGATGAGGTCCCAGCCTTCAAGAAGGGTAGCTATAAAACCTTTTAAAAAGGCTTAATGAGGACTACTGTGTATAGAACTGTTCACTGAAAACGGAGTAGGGGGCAAGACCACAGGAACAGACCTGTCTTCCTGCTCCCTGTGGCCTCTGAGACAGCTCCGAATCGTAGCGTGCTGTGAAACAGTTTGGAATCACCTGGCACTGTGTGTGTTGGGGGAGGTGGGAGGGGGCGTATTCTTAATTCAGAGACACACAACCTTCACAGTAGGAATTTTTGTGCCATCAATATCTGTTATTAGCTACAGAACATACATGATCATTTCTAACTATAGTGGTTGTTGTAGGCTAAGTAAGGAAATAATTCTCAAGCTCTTTGTTCAGGAAAAATTGATAGGATTAGTTTCCCCAAGACTAGAATTAATTATGTACTTAACCAACAATCCACTTTAAGAGGCAGAGTCTGATTCAAAGCTATACCTGGTACTAATTTCTTCCTGATTTTCACCATTTCTGTTTGATGGTATGTTTGTTGATTTGACACAATCCTGCCTAGGAAGATCCCACTTCATTGGGAACTGGAATAAACCCGTTATACCCCAACAGATTTTTTTTTCCTACTAACATTTGGAAAGACTGCAAAAGATACTTTCCCTATTGGGAGTAAGTATTCAAGCACCACATAAAAGGAGGATTAAACTAAAACTTTTTTTTCAGGCAGCATTTGCTGTATTTGTACCATTTAAAAATGTTGACAGTGGTTTAATTTTTCTTGACAGACACCTCTTGTGTCCAGCTGAACGATTCCTCTTATGACAGTTTGGAAAACGAGCTCAATGAGGATGCTGATGCTCCATGCAGTGACCTGGTAAGGAAACTTGGCCAGGGTAGCAGAAGCATGGACTCTGTCCTAACACTCAGTGACTATGACATCGACCAGCCAGAGGTGGAAGGTCTCTTAGCCCTGAGTGAGTTTGACCTAGACCGCTCTAAGCATCAGGACATTCAGGTGAAACGGCCTGCGGGGTCCAAGCAGGTGAAAGTGTTAGTGGTGGGCAGAAATGCCCCACTGGTGGAGCGCCCCGGGGCCTCGTCCAGCGTGTGTACCCCCAGCTACCGGTCCACGGCTGCAGCAGAAGCTCCACAAAGCCTGCGGCGACACAGGCGCTGCTCAGAGCCCAGCATTGACCCTCATGACTCTAAGGGTTCCTATCTCAAGGGGTTTTACCAGAAAAAGCTACGCAAGTCCAGCTGTGATGCAATCCTCTCTCAAAACGATGAGGATGATCCGGAACAAAATCAGCCCCTCCCAGAAGAGGATAAGACGTGTTTAGAACAGAGTTTAGTCACAAATACTGATCCCAGCAGGAAAAACGCCACTAATAAAAACATTAAGAAGAGCAGCTTGTCAGCTACTGAAGGAAACCATGTGAAACTTTCCACGAAGTCCAGGCCAGTGGCCATTTCTGTGGCACCTTATAGTCACGCATCCCCCCGGGACCATTCCAGGAGCCCACATTCTGATGCAAACACATCTGGATACACCCCCACACACATCAGAGATACACTCAAGAGCTCAAGGACACATCGGCGCTGTTCAGAGCCCAGCATAGATGACCAGAAGTGCAAACTGACCTATCTCAGGGGGATTTATTCAAAGAAACAACATAAAAGCAGCTGCCAAACTGTCCTCTTGCAGGGAGAGGAAGATTATCTCAGACGGCATAAGTCTTTGCAAATGGAAGGGCAAAAACTTATTAATCAGAGTTTGGTCATGGGGATTGAGGTGGGCAGAAGCAGTGCCACTCACCAAAGTGCTGAAAAGGTTTTGCCCCCCAGACTGAGCCTGTGCCCGAGCAGCAGCTCTTCCAGCTTATCCTCCCCAGGCACTTCCCCGTCCGGCTCATCCGTGAGCTCCCAGGACAGTGCCTTTTCCCAGATCTCAGAACACTCTGTGTTTACACCCACGGAGACTTCTTCCCCGATAGATTGCACTTTCCAGGCTCAGAAGAGACAGGAAAACCCTTCCTTCAGCTTCATTTCTAAAGTGCCTGGCCCCTCCATAGGGCAGGCTAGCAGCCATCTGACTTACATGAAAAAGGACACCATAGAGTGGCATTCACAGATGCACTCTGTGACTCTTCATCCCAGCGCGTGGCTGAAAAATAGCGTGGCCAGTTTGAAAAACTGGTCCCTTAAGAAAAAAGCAAAATTAACCAGGCCAGAGGAAAAGAAACTCAATCTCCTGAAAGGACCTTTGGAGTCACCTCCACATGCATCTGATGTTTCAGAAGCCAGTTCACTGCAACAGAGTGAGAAAGGCCCACCCCCAACAGCCACTGAAGGACCTAGAACCTCGCACACAGCCCGGCCGTGGAGCTCTGGTTCCTGTCAGGACTCGGACAGACACTGTAGCTCTCCATTCAGCCTGCAGGAGAGCAGACTCAAGTTTTGCGGGAAGTCCTACGGGGGAGGGGAGACTGAAGGGCCATGCTGTTCTGGTCCTTTGCCGTGGGAAAAAGCCTCATCTAGTCCTGGGACTGTAAATGATATGACCAGCCCAGATGAAGAGCCCACAGTGGTTCCTGATGCTGGGGATAAACACTTAGCCAAAGACATCTAACCACAGTAAGAATCTACTGTCTACAACAATGGAAACTGGGCTGATCACACAAAATAATTATAACCCTTTTTTAAAAATAAGATATTTGGGAGAGGTAACCTAAAGATAATCTTACTAATACTTAGGACAAAAATGTTTTCTTTACTGAGACTACTTGATAAAGACTTTAGGTGAAAAAAAATCACCTAAGTTTAGAAAGCTTTTATTTACTAAAGCATGGGATTGGTACTGCCCTGAGGTTTTAGTGATAGGAGCAGAGGACTTAGGGAACACCCCTTCCATTGAAGAGGGTTGCCTTTTGTCCACTGTCAGTGACGTCAGGTCCTGAGTAGGCTATGCTTTCATAAGTGAAGAATCAGGACAAGAAGGGTGGCACTGTGAGAAACCACCCACATTTACTTTAGGGAATTCTTTTAGTAATGAGGTGAGAAAAATGCCACTAATCAAAATATTAAGAAAAACTTGTATATAGTAATGATCAAAATCATGTAAAACCTTTTCCTGAATCCAAGCCAGCTGTCATTGCGGTGGCATTTTCTAATCACACGCCCTTCCAGGATCACTCTAGGAACATTTATATAGCTGAAGTGGAGAAAATCAGAGTGATTCAAAAACACCACAGTGTACTGGTGCACATTTAAGACAACAGAGAAGATAAGCTCACAGATACAACATAAACTAAGGAAATGTAAACCATCTCTCAGTTATGAGTCGTTTTGCACAAAAACACAAAATTTTCTGAAAACTCAAAGCCTGTGATCACTGCTGCCATGTGAGGGTACCATGACATCATAATTCTTTTGTTGGTTGTGTTGATGATTTTTTTTCCCTTAGCACTATTTTGTAAAGGTTCCGAGAAACAGCTGTGATAAGGGAGAGAGTGTTCACTCCTTCTCCCTTTTCAAAGGTTTCTGTGCTGGGAACATGCTTTAGAAATACAGCTTTTCCTGTTTAGAACAGATCCATTTCCAACAACATTTGCTATCATAGTATTAAGTAGAAAATTCCACTAGCAGTCCATTCTCAGTTGCGTGAATAGTGTTAACACATAACAAAGCATAGCATCTCTTTGCTGAACTATTTTTCTGTAACCCTGTCTCAGATAACAGTGTATGATTAAAAATGCAGTGAATGGCTAAATTTTTTAAGTTATTACAGTAAGAGATTCTCCTCAAAATATTCCTAACACACTTACACCATCATTGGTGCCACTTTCTGAAGCAATTCTGTACATCCTCTTCTGTGAGCATCTTCTTTTTGTCAAAAAAAAATTTTTTTTTTATCGGTACCAGGGATTGAACTCACGACTGCCTGCTTGCAAGGCAGGCACTTATGCTGCTGCTCTGTGAGCATCTTAGTTGCACTGGTGTGTCTGCCTTGCTGTCCTGAATCATTTCAAAATATTTACCTATTACGCTCATGTTGACTTGGGAAAGACCTGGAAGCTGCACAGTACCAGATCTGATGAACAGAATGAGTGAGGAAGACCTGTAATACGATCACAGCTCTGCTGTTTAGTTGGATGTCACTCAACATATTTTTTATCACATGAAAGAATTTCCAGAACTGCTTCAGAAAGTGACAAGAACCATAGGATAAGCATGTTCGAAGTGAGGGTATTTTTAGGGAAATTAATGGCCATATGTCTACTCTAATAAATTTTTAAAACATGCACTTTTATTCATATATTTTCATCTTAATCACAAAAACAAGTCACCTTTGTATAATTTTTATAAATTGTAAATTAAGAGAGCACTTTAGAGGTTGGCAACTTACAGGGACTCATAGAATAGAATGTTCAACAAAACGGTTACCAGACCTCCTCGGGTGGGTCATTACTTTGGATTTTCTTATTTGTGGAAATGTTTCCATATTTTTGTCCCAAGTGACTCAATAGTTGATAGATGGTTTAGACTCCATTAATTTTGGTGGCATGACTCTTTCTCTTCTCTCTTGCCTTAAAATTTACAACAGTACAGCTGCTCGCCCAGGAATAAATTCCCAAGCCTTCCCAGCTAGTGTGGAGGGACAGTGCTAAACCACATTTACCTTCCTCCCCTTGACGACTCCCTGGAAAAGCTGCTCAGCCATTTGACCTCTGTCATCTACCGTCAAATTGATCTTCCTCTCACAAACTAGCTTATTTCTGATTATTTTTATTAATCATTAGGAAACTTATAGCAGATATTCTTCTCTTGTTCTAACAGTTACATTTTTGGTTATGGGATTAAAAATCAGTGTTTTCTCTAAGAAGTTATTTCAGTATTCGCTATAGGTGCTACCTACCTCTTGGATCCATGGTCCTGTTGCCCTAATCATTATAGTAACTTTTAGAATTCTGTGTCCAGAGAGCCCCTCCATGACACTGGCCCTCTCAGTCACAGAGGTGTAGTAGACTTCAGTTCATAACTGCTCCTGTATTTAGACTTCTGAGCACCCGTACGAGTCTTTCATGGTATAATACATGAAGTCACAGGGAATCCCCTTACCCTTAGGGCATACTACTGCAGAACTACAGGATGTGAATGAAGCTCTTATGGTTTGGAGTGTATTTCTGGAAAAATTACTTAACTACTTGCAAAAATAATAGTTTAGCCTTTTTTTTCATTTCATAATAGCCACTAGAAAATCACCCCCCCAATTTGAAGCATAGAAGAAAATAGTTACTGTACTAAGGTTCTTCAATAACCACCCCCACTCCTCTGTTCCTTAGATACTCCTGTAATACATAATGTGAATAGTTTAATATTGCTGTAAAGTATTGTATTATTTGAAGACAGACTACATGTCATTTTATTATGCTCCATCAATCTATAATATATTAGACCAATGCTTTATCTAAAATGCTTTGAGTTTGTATAATATATCTGGACAAATTTTATTACCATATGTTATGTAATAAATGTGTATTTTTGTACTTGCAGAAATTGCTGCTAACTTTTCAAGTTGTTTCCTTTTCAAGGCACTGATAATGGATATGTATGCAGTCCATGCTGTCTGTTAAATAAAATACCATTCTGCAGAGGTGACAGTCACTTCAGAGCATTGTTGACTTTGAAGAGTTGTTGGAGTCAGTGAGCCCTGTTTGTGCTTTACACTGGGAATTTCACAGAGTATAGTTAATGCTGAGTTGAAGCTTTGAGATTTTACTCATTAGTTACAGTCCCTCTAGAAAGAATGGGTTTTTCCTTTGTTACCAAACAAACTGTGTTAGATACCCAGTCTTCATTTATCTCGGCACTTTGTTTCCACTGTGCTCCTAGAATAACATGTAGTCTATGTTATCATATCAGAATGATGATGAAATTTGCTTAATGAACTCTCAACCGTTCTGAACAGAGTACCTAGCTGATCTCAGATACACACCAAAATATCAGTGCTTCTAGGTTCAGTAAGTTTCTCATGACTGTTTCATCTTTGCCTCTCAGAGTTCACTGAGATCTGCTTATAAATTTAACCACCGTTTCAAAAGGATTAAAAAGATTATTACCTTATCCCAGGAAAAAATTTTCTCAGACTGGGTAGACCACAACTTTGCTTTCAGAAATGTTACTGCTTATATTTAAGCAATGTACACATACACTGATGTTAATTTCTATCTAAACGTTATAGAAATTCAATTTGCTTTAATAAAAAAGATTCTTAATCTGATGTTACTAATAGATTAAGATTTTTTTTTTTTTTTTTTTTTTTACTGTTCAAGGCAAAACATTTACTCAGGACCTAAAGGATCCTCGTCCCAAAGGAGTATTTTTTCTGTTGAAAAGAAATTCTATCGCATATCTTCATCCAGATCCTGTTGCTAAGCTTTTAGCTCCTGTGCTCCTACCAGATCAAGGTTTAATGGCTTGAGAGATTATTTTACAAACTGGTTCTTTTAATTCGAAGAAAAATTCATTAGCAAGATACTCATAAGTTCTATTCCTGGAAGGTCTTTAGGTAAAATGTTCACTTTCTGTAATATCTGATCTGACTGTGAGAATTTCTCATAAGCAGGAAACTGAAAGGAAATGAACTCAGGTTCTGTGCTGTTTCCCGTGAGTGAGTCCTTTTTGTAAAGACTTTCATGTTTCATTCAACTTCTTTTTCGTTTTAAATACAGTGAACTCCTAGAAGTTCAGCTTTGCATTAAAATATCAGATTTTTTTGGGTAAAATTGGCAGAAGGCTCTAGAATGTAGTTTGGAAAATTATGTTTTGATTTCCCACAGAAATATAGTTGATGGATTTGAATGAATATTATTATTTAGTTTACATTCACATTGGGCAGCAACAGAATACATGCACATTTTTAAGTAATGCGTAGTGTTACCTAATATATTGTTATTTGTTAAAGCAAACCAAATAGGTACCCTAGAGTTAATTTTTCATGGTGATATAAGGTACAGCTTTTGTAGATTTAAAATGTCATTTAAGCTTTAAATGCTAGTTGTTTTTAGCTGGTTTTGATTTTAGATTACAATAACTTGGAATTCAATTTAGAATTTTATTTTCAGGATTTCCTTGAGAAGTGAATAAATTGGCTAAAAACTCGTGAAGTCATCCAATTACTCTGAGCAAATAAAATGGAATCTATGAAGAAAGACATCTACCAGATCATAGGAGCTATAGCTATTACTGCCTAAAATTTCAGTAAGATAAAAAATATTTTATATCTTTGCCCAAGAATAGAATGAGAAGCAGAGAATCACAGAAGTTTGTGAACACAGAAAAGGTTATTACTTGGTGACACAACAAATGAGTAGGAGGGAAGAAGAGCCTTAGATGAACTAATTCAAGCAAGAAACCAAAAACTAAAGCTCAAAAAAATGAAAGGGGAAAGGAGCAAAGCAGCTGGAGAAAATGGAAGTGCTAAAATGCTCTTGAGGTGATTAATTTTTATTGCTCGATGTTCTTGCTGCAGATGTATGAATGTCAGACTTACAGCTTGCCTGCACCACACTGAATAAAGAGCCGGCTCAGTAGCAAACACATGTCTTCACAGACTTGTATGCATGTGTGTGTAGGCTGAAATACTGTAATCAATAATCACTGCGTTTTACTCACCAAGTTGCACAAGCACATGTAACATCTGATACAATTTCAACTGGAGTGTACAGGTACTGGAGGCAGAGTTAGCACCACACTGTACCCTACACTAGACAGTGCCGTTATCACCTATACAGTCCATGCTGGAATACCATGCAGTTGGAGTCATGGATACTACTGTCAGAAATCACATTATGATATTACATTAAAGATGCATTACTGGCTGTCCAGGCCTGCATGAAGTCCACTGGCCGCAGTAGTACAGATGAAAAGCAAATTGTACCTGTATTTGAGTCTTGAACCAACTAAAGGGAAGACTGAGCTGAGTAAAAAATGATTATTAGCATTTATTGGGCACTTCCTGTTGCCTGCAAGTGTTGGTGATAAATGCGTTTTATATACTACTTTAATGCTGATAATAGCTCATTTGGTGCATACCTTTGGCTAGAATCTCACTCTGACCCTATTCCTCCTCATTCACTTTAGAATAGAGATCATAGTCCTTCAGTAATAAAGCAAACACAATTATATGTGCAAGAATTACTCCAAGCTTTACTAAATTATTTTATCTAAACTGGACTCTCCAATTTAAGAAATCATTCAATGTCAGAAAAACATTTAAAAAGCAATGATGAATGTAAATGACATAATTTGACAAAATGGTATACTTGTATTCCTTCTCTTCACTGTCCAATTTTAAATCCTGTAAGTATGCAATGTAAGACACAGCCAAAGGAGAATACTGAAAGGTGGTACAAACAAGACGACTTGGTCAAGAATCCTTAGACGAGGGGGATAGCAGTTTCAAAACATCTTAGGTCTGTTCACTCAGACCAAGGTGGTGACCCAGGCCTAATTATTCCTAATCTAGCAACAAAAAAGAGGGGAGGGGACTCAGGGAAGTTCATGCTTCTTCACGTAAACCAGAGACCCTCTGACACCATTGGGTGGGGCTTCATGCAGCCCTGGACAGCAAGAGGAACTGATGGGAGCCCCTCTACTAAGGGGGAAGAAGTTTTTGCCTGACAGACCTAGGATTTACCTTCTCCCCTGGAGATAGCAGGTTCTCCAGACAACAACAGGAAGAAGAACTTGGCCACAAGCAAGCAGCTCAACCTATGAAACGACCTGGCCCCAGCATTTGTGAGACTCCTTCCTTGTCCAAAGATAGAGCAGCCAAGTGGCAGATACAGGAAGTGTTTCACTGATCTAGGAAAGTTGCAGATCTGCAGAACAAAGAGGCTTCCCTGGTTACAAATAGGTTATAGTAACATACCAGAAAAGTTCTAAAAATTAAGATCCCATTGGATCGACAGCCCTCAAACATAGGTCAAGACATGAGTGCTGAGCTAAATAAGATAATTGCCTGCAGAATGTCCAGAGGTACTATTTTCAAAAACACCTACAATACCAAGGGTATGGAAAAACACAACTTCAGTAGGACAGCTGATCCAAACACAGATGATTTTAAAATATGTAAAAAAAAAATTGTCTTGAAACAAAAATGTAAAGAAATAGAAGTTATAAGAAAAAAGAAAATGAACTGGCTGCCCTCAGGGGAAGCTTCCAGCTGGTAGCCAGGACAGGCCAGGAGAAGCAGCCAGCCATGCCCCAGCACACCCACCACCATCTGGGCAGTCTCTGTAGCCCACTCCACACACACTCCCTACAGGAACCTAGATTCAGAGAAACTCAGGTGACTGAACCGTTCCCCTACACTGCAGATGGGCAGCCAACATGGAAAGTGCCTGGGACCCTACCACTAGCTTGTCCACCAGCTAAATGTTAAGACACCAGAAAAATGTTAAGACAAAGGAGAAAAAGGTCAAGATGAAGGAACAAAATGTAATCTCAGACCTCCAGCCCACACAGACCAAGTCCAGGAGACACTGACAGAAGAAATTGGAAATTGCACACCTAAAGTTTGTGAAAGAATAGCAACTGAAGAAACAACTTCATGAGGTTGTAAAAGAAACCAGATTAGAAATATCTCAGGTAAAAGAAATGACAACCATAATGAAATTGCTGAGCATATCTAAAGAAGACAGTTTTTTTTAAAAGCATAGGAAAATATGGAGGGGGGCTCCAGAAAAGATGGTGGATAGATAACAGCAGCTACACGGGCTCTCTGAGATAGCCAACTTAGATTCCAAAAGTAATACAGCCTGGGGAGTCCCAAACAGAGGGAGATACACCCTGCTGACCCAGGAACAAACTAAGCTGAGAGAAACCAATTAAAAATATTGTCCCAGTACTATGATTGGAACAGCTAAAGTCTTGGTGCCACTGCTTGAACTCGTGGTTTGCATACCCTGCCGCTGTCACGTCTGAATTGGCGCAGTCTAATTTCAACTCACTGGAGATACGAATGCTCTGAGAGCGGGAATCGGCGAACCAGATTGAGAGCAGAGCTGGTGAGGAACCCTGAACCCTGCATCGACCTGCAGTGAGTGAGGGGGAAAAAAACCCTTCCATAGACAGGCTCCAACAAATGACATTCTGGGATCAGGCAGACTGGCCGGAACAAGGCGCTGCAGTGACTTCAGTCAGATATTCCCTTCTCAAGCAGGATTGGTGGGGAGCACTTGACCTGCGTGACCTCGCGGACTGAAGCCAAATAGGCAAACCATAACCAAGTCCCTACACTGGACAGTGCACCCTAATGCAGTGAAGCCTTCAGTAGGTTGATCTATAGGGATGGGCCCAACATAGGCTGCCTGGGTCTGTACCTCCTAATACACTGCAATGGGTAGGACTACCTAGTCAGCACTCTTCAGACAAACTGAAACCAACAAAGAAAGAAACTGGGCCTCCTATATACGCCTGTATGGAAGGAACAAAAGGTATGAGAAGAGGAGGCAACAAGAAAGGGTCCTCAGTCCCCAATCCTGAGAACACTGATCCAAGGAAGGTAAATGTAAAGGAGAATGAGTACAGAAACCATGCAATATCAGGCACGGCACCAGTAGACATAAAGTGATATCTTCGGGACCTCATAGATGAATTCA